ATGAAAGTTCCAGTATAAACTACTCATTCTCACATTCCAATTTCCCCATGTGTCGCGAACACTTACATGTAACATCACCATAACCACGAATATGTTAGAGAACGGGAGTAAGCGACGGAACAATTGAGCACCCAGACATACATGAGTTCCCCATTACATGCAAATCTGTGTTTTATGAAAGCACTCGATAACCGCTCATTGCTTCTGCATGCTAGCCTGCACCGCCAAAACTTTCGCCACAGCGGGACGCTCCTCAAGCGTCTTGTGCCACCTGTGGTACAGTGACCGTTAGCCTCTAGAACGACAATGCGGAGCCAAAGCCGTAGCCTATGATTAGACGCAAAAAGAATACTCACTTGTACGCCGACGGATAGTCCTTCTCGACGTCAACACCGGGTAGGTCCTTGAAGCTGACGTTGAACGCGGCGCGGTTCCAAGTGATGAACGCGATGTCCGCGATCGTGGGCTTGCCGCCGACGAGCCACTCCTGCTTGGAGAGAACGCTCTCAAGCACGCTGTATACGCGCTGCGTCTCCTTCTGGTACCGCTCAATCACGCCCGGGAGATGCTCGGGGTGGTACCTCTTGAACCAGAAAACCTGGCCGAAGTACGGGCTGTATGCGGATCAGCGATCGTCAGCACTCTCCCGCATACCCGTCAGTCTGGGTGATGAGGAAACTTACCCTTGTCCAGACGCCTGGAAAAACAGCCACTGGAGGAGGTTGTATTTGTCGTTCCCGTCCGATACGCCGAGCTTGTCCTCCTTACCGTATTTCTCGAGGAGGTAGAGGAGGATCGCGTTGGACTCCCAAATCACGAAGTCATTGTTCTTGTGGTCGATGAGCGTCGGGATACGCCCATTTGGGTTCAGCTTCGTGTGCTCGGGCGACTTCTGCTCGAGCTTGGTGAAGTCGAGGTAGATGCTCTCGTACGTGAGTCCGAGCTCCTCGAGGACGAACGCGACCTTCCTGTGAACAGAGTGGAAGAATCATCGAATTGGAATTAGAGAGACGTTGAGGGAGCAAATATATCAATATACGAAGATGGGCTCACCAGCCGTTAGGGCCGCCAATATGGGTATAGAGCGTAAACTGCTTGTCATGCGACGTCGTTGCGATATGGTGTTGGTTGTATAAGAATGCTTGAAGTATGAGCGAGGTAGGGGGAGAATAACAGAACGAATCGGCGCAGATACTCGTGGAGCAAGGTGCGTGTCTTTATACCTTCGTCCTTTTGGGCCAGGAGTGCTCATATAGCTACTGGCATGCACGGAGATATTGGAAGTAAAGAATTCGCATTGTGCGAGTGAGATCGGCGCCAGAGGGTGAACAGGCTGGCTAGGAGGCAAGCTGACAAACGGTGAGAGACTAGATGCTGACGGAGTAATTAGGTGGTTGATTGTGTTACTGGACACCACCCTCGCGTCCATCGTGAGTGTCAGTGGCTGCGCGTGGAGTTTAGCGAGATCGGATGCAGTTCGCTGAGGCGCACCGAGCTCGACTTCGCAGTCAGAGAACGTCTGTGAAGCTGGTTGAGGGGGTTGCGAGCCTTCCTGGGAAGTGGTTGCGACTGCGTCTTGGTCAGTCGATGGTGAGTAAATCAAGGAACCGCTGTCAAACCGAGAGTCGTAGCGCAGACGGTGACGACAGTCCGCTGTCCGTGTGTTGAGGCCACCGGAAGCATCGCGCTCGAAACGCGAGCATGCGGAGCGCACAAAACTGAATAGCATTGTCAACAGGGAATCGTAACCCCTTTAAGAGGTCGTCGGTTATGTCGAATCAGTCGATGAATTCTTCTATGGCCCAGTATTTGATACGAGAGACATTCAAAGCTGGCGCGGGGTGGCAGCCAACCATATGTCGGTCCCAGAGTGCCGGCATAAAAGAAGAGGAGAAATGTCAGATCCATTTACGGACGTGATGAGTAATGTGGTTCTGGATTGGATTTGCAACAGCGTTAGGACAAGGAGAAGACTAGAGCAAAAGTCCGACCAGGAGCGGAACAGGGCTAAGCTGCTGCTGGAGTAGCTGACAGTGGAAAAGAGGAATTGTCGCTAATTGAGTGACTCGAAGTTGGGCTTGTTGCCTTTGCTTACGTAACTAATACTAATGCGTTGAGCGTCTGGTAGTAGTACTTGCCGCTACTAACGACGACCAGACCACCACTGCCACCTGGGGTCAACTGCCTAGGAATGCACCTCCACTATCAGTGTAGCTGTCTACAGGCATTCGAGCCTCACCCGAGGCAGAATATCGTCGTAATGCGTGCAGACAGCAGGTAGTGGCGATAGATTCGCGGTAGCAAGTCTATTCTGACTCCCATTCACTAGCGCTACCAGCATTCAATCCAGTGCGATGCAGCGCTCGTCCAAGGCTTCTTGGAGACATCGCACCCTGGAAGCTATGAGCCGTCGCTTGAATACATGTAAAGCTGACTCAAACTCACTAGTCTGAGAATCATCATACTCCTGCTCACCACGGTCAGGCGACTCTTTCCGAGACAGCGCCGGCCCGTTCTTGTTGCGTAGCAGAGGCTTCAAGAATCAAGTGGGGCGCGTATGTACGTTTCTCACCTCATGAAAGTCACCGTATGGTCATATGGCTGATGATGTACAGGGTGGAACATGCCTCGCTAGGCCACTCGGGAATCGTAAGCCCGGGCCGTCTCTTGACTCGTGACCGCCGCGGAGGGATTAAATGGGGACGACGAGAGCGTCGCCACTGCCTACGGTGCTCCTCTTTTAGAGCCTGTGCGAGAAGATGCGCGTACTCCTCACATGGCTTGTGGGTGCGTTTCTAGGAGCTGTGCTGACGCAGGCAGCTGCGGTGCAGGACAGAGCGCCTAAGACTTGCACGCTGAAGCCCCTTGGGCACGGAAAGGATGATACAGACCAGGTAAGCTTTGACCTCGGTATTCTCTCATCAAATCTCATAAAACGCTGTACGATACCAAGGTGGTGGCTGCAATTGCCAGATGCGGGCACTTTGGCACGACAGTGTTCGGTCCAGGCCAATACAATATTACCAGGTTCGTTCGCGCCCTCCCATCCTGAACCCCAGGGCTTCGTAACTGAACAAGCAACAGGAAAATGACATGGGATCTTGTATCGTCCCGAGTCGACATGCATGGCTATCTCAACGTGAGCCGAGTTTGTTCACCTCCGCCGAGTACACCGAGTTCTGATGATCATGTTAGTTCAAGCCTGACCCCGAGTACTGGCTGAACGCCAATAACACCTATCGTGTCATCTTCATTCAAGATCAGGCGTCGTGGTTTGTGATCACTGGGCACGACTTCATCGTCGACGCGCACGCTTCAGGCGGGATAAACGGCAATGGCCAGACGTGGTGGTCGTTCTACGGGAATCGCTCTCGTTCGGACGGGGACGGTCGCCCGGTTTCGCTCACGCTATCTAACGTGACGAGGGGTGTCATCAAGGATTTCAGGATCGAGGCGCAGCCGTTCTGGTGCAACGCAGTCGCAGACTCCCAAGATGTGGTCTATGACGGTATGTACTGCAATGCAACAAACCAGGACCCTCTGTACGCAGGCCAGAAGTACGCGCATCATTGTCCTTTCAAATAGTTCAACGCTATACTCAACGCTGCTCTAGCGTGGTTCCCAATACAGACGGTTCGCATTTGTCATCCGTAAGGGAGACGTACTAGGTTGATCATGGCATGTTTCAGGTATCAACACCTACCGTTCCGACCGCGTCTCCCTGTTGCGTTTCGATGTAAGCTTCTTTACTGCCTGCCCATTTGTAGTCTCTAATATCCACCATAGATCACCTGTGGCGACGATTGCCTCGCTATCAAAGGAGTGCGTATGTCAACCGTCCTGCTACACCATCCAACTAACCTTTTTACAAGAACTCGACGAATGTTATCGCGAAGGATATCACTTGCAGAGGGGGCAACGGAATCGCTTTCGGCTCTCTTGGCCAATACGTAGACCTTGTCAGTTGGTCCTGCCGGATCTCCAAGTCTTCGCGTACTAACCGACGATGCACATTATGCAGCCGGATATTGTGGACAATGTCGTCATGGAGGACCTCAAGGTAACTGTGATCTGTTGCCTACTTCTACTCGAAAGGGCGAATTGTTCATGCACAACAAGATGATTCGCCTGGATCCTCAAATACAGCCCAACATGGGTTCGGGAGTATACCTCAAGACGTGGACAGGCACGGTTCACGGGTCCCCTCCCACCGGAGGAGGGGGCGGAGGCGGTACGTACCTCCACACACCTGATCAATGCGACACATTTTTCCTCACAGGCTGAGTTTCTCGGTCTTCCAGGTTTCGTCTCGAATGTCGTCGCGAAGCGTGTCTCGCTTGATCGCGTAACCGTGCCTATCCACCTCTACCAGACCAACGGTGGACATTCGTGAGTCTCTCCTCTCAATCCCTCTTCCGCTCCCGTTGATCGGTGTGAGCAGTGGCGATGCACCGTCCAAGCTGCAGTTCAGCAACCTCACATTCAGTGACTGGACAGGGACCTCGTTGCGCAATACCAGTGTGTCCGCTCCCTCCTCGTTTGCCTAGCACCTACTTACCACTGGGCCCTTTCTATCTGACTTCGTTTACGTTGCGCCATCCAGTTGTAGACATCGAGTGTAGTGCCGCTGTGCCGTGCCCGAACATACAATTTCACGACGTGAACGTCGCACCGCCAAATGGCACGGCGCCAAGCTACAGGTGCGTTAATGTTGCGAGCGAATTTGGCCTCCCAGGTAGATCTCTAAGCTGCTTTGCCGCCACCGACCTGAGCTGACATGAATGTTGTATAGCTTGCAACGCTACAGGCACTCAGTAATCGCTTTGGGCGGCGGTGGCACGTTGTCATACAGTCTCAGCTATCCCCAATGTACCCCTGCTTTATGAGAGAATGACACACTTCACTACACGATGGGGCGTCGTAAAGCATGTAAAAACGGAACACCTCGATGTACGCTGAGTGGGAAAAAGAAGTGTGTGCACACCCCCAGTACAGTGCGCTTCCCATTAGCCGACTCGAACGACTGACCTCGTCATGGCCTAACCAAGCAGTAGGTACTAGTGGCTCTACCAACTGAGCTAAACGGGATGATTTATGGACAGAGACGGTAGTATTAACAGCTCAAGAGGGGAAACCCTTCCGGGTGCGGAGTCCTCTGGCGTCCTCAAGACATGACATGCACACCGGGGGCGCCGACCTGTGAGATAAGTGGTTACATTGATATTTTATCGTAACCACTGGCAATATGTAGCACGGCATTTCACCGAATGTGCCACGCTAATCAAACTTCAAATGTTACGCGAAAACCGTGTTACACGCTAGTTACATCTTGAAAGACCGATGTAACTAGCATAAGACAAAGAACCATATTTGACATCTAACTATCGTGTGTTTCTCGTGTAACGAGCGGTTCCACAGGCCGATGCCCCCCGGTGGCAGATGTCCTGTCCGCACAAGCAGCACATATACCATAGCGAGGGTCCATTTATTCTTACTTCCGTAGCTATATGCCGTCGAGAGTAAGAGTCGTGTATTGCAAGGAGGTTGAACGCGGTAAAATGATGAGATGCGAGGTATTTCCCATTAGCCGACTCGAACGACTGACCTCGTCATGACTGGCTCGTAAGCAAGTACTAGTGACGCGCTCTACCAACTGAGCTAAACGGGATGTTGATTAATGCTCTGCGCACTAGGCTATACCCAAGGGGGATCTACACCCACTCCGCTATTGTTCTGTTAGCTCAGCCACAAGATCTCAACCTTGCCGAGAGCGTTGACACAAGGACGGGTGGCTCAACGACATCGAATCGCACACAGAGCGTCGACACGAAATACCAAGATGTCTGCAGCAATTGTGCTCACACCCACACCCACAGATGGATTCCACACACAGACATCGAGCCTTCAGGAGGCTACAGAGAAGTTGATCAAGACCCATGTACCGCCTGGCGGAACGTCGCAAGTCGAGTTGCAAAAGAGATACCACTTTGAATTCCTCCTCCGTAATCTGCGACAGGGGTTTCCAGAGCGCTATACCTCGCAAGATGCGAGTCAACCGTGGCTGATTTACTGGACGCTGCATGGGTTCAGCCTACTCGGCGCCGGCTTAGACGACCTCACGAAGAAGAGGTAAGCACTGGGACCATGTTATATGATGCGGGAGTCTGAAGTGCTTCAATTTACATAAGATCAATTGAAACGCTCCTTGCACTTCAGCATCCTGAGGGAGGCTTCTCCGGGGGTCCCGGTCAGGCTGCCCACTTGTTGCCCACTTACGCAGCCGTGTGCGCATTCGCCATTGTGGGGCGTCCTGGGGCCGGCGGAGGTTGGGAGTTAATTGATAGGTGAATGGTGCATTCGATGGCCGTTCTATGGCCTCACTGAATGCTGTCATCTGGAACATTCGCAGGCAGAAGATGTACAGGTTCTTCATGTCGTTGAAGCAGCCTGACGGATCCTTCCTTGTCAGCCACCATGGCGAAGTTGATGTCAGGTTAGTAAATCTACAACTTCTCATAGAAGGCCATACAACACACCATGCGTTCGGGATGTTGTGTAATAATTTCATCCTCGTGCCATCACATAGATCGGATAAGCTCCAGAGTGCTGCATTTCATGCAGCTTAGTGGACGTCTTGTATTGGAGAATATCAATTTTACTGATCGATACACAGGGGAATCTATTGCCTATTGGTTGTCGCCACACTCCTCAACTTGCTGACACCGGAACTTCTCGCCGGTGTCCCCGATTTCCTCGCCACATGCCAAACCTACGAAGGGGGATTCGGCAATGCATCTTTCCCTGGATGGGCATTCGAAGCTGGTGTGTCATCTGAACGTACAAGTGGTCATCTTCTATAGAGATTGACATATCATTCTGGCCCCCCGAAGACGATCCCGAGTCAGAGAAACCATCAACTGCGTCCTTCGATCCTACCGCTCCTCGGCCTCCTCTCGGTGAAGCTCACGGCGGATATACCTTCTGCGCCACAGCTTCATGGGTTATATTGCAATCCTATATCGAACAGCATTATGCTCGTCCTGGAGTGTCAAGCGCCGCTTCCCTGCCACTTCGCCCAGAGATCAATACCCGTGGGTTGCTACGATGGTGCACACAAATGCAAGGGCTTCCCATAGAGCTCGGCGGTTTCAGGGGCCGCACCAACAAGCTAGTGGACGGATGCTACAGCTGGTGGGTAGGTGGCTGCGTCGTCCTCGTCGAAGCCCTCCTAGGTGTGGGAGTGCTTCGCGACTCGCCGACCGAAGGGGATGGCGGGGAAGAAGAAGGGCACAAAGCATGGGACGATGTTGATGGTAGGCAACTTCCGGACTGTCCGCTGCTTTTTGTGACATGGGCATCCTGACATCACCCTCACCTACTCGCTCATCCACGGCCGATGTCTCACAGACTCGCTCTTTGATCGGAAGGCGCTGCAAGAGTACATCCTCTGCGCAGGCCAGCATCCTGCAGGGGGACTGCGCGATAAGCCGCCCAAGTATGTCGCTCATATCGCCCGCGCGCGATCCATCACCTCTGGCGCAGGCACTGAAGCCTTCTCTTACGTGCTCCAGGCCCGCAGACGCCTACCACACGCTCTACTGCGCCGCTGGGCTTTCTGCAGCCCAGCATCGCGTCGTGCCCTCCGATACACGGAGGCACGCTGTCATTTCCGCTTGGAATCCCGTGCAGGCCCGGGCGCACGATGGTGCGTCCCCACCCTTGCCCGCCGAACAGTGCGCTCACCCCGGAGTCTATCTGACCGTGCCTCCCCCTGGCATCTAGGCACCGGTGTCGTCAGTGCAGCGTCGGACGCTGAACGTGAGAAGCTAGACGTTCTCCGCAGAGAGACATGCGCCCACGTCCTGTCGTGGACAGAGGAAGAGGGCACGGCTCTATACGTCGGCGGCTCAGCCAACCGCGTGGTGAGTAAGCGTACCGCGCTTTCTTGTTATCTCTAGCGTTTGCACCTAGAATTCCTGATGTGCTGATGGTGGATTGTCGCTCTCGTCGCAGAATGCAACACATCCCGTCTTCAATTTGACTGTGACTCATTCAGACGCGATGATGGCCTACTTCTACGGCCAAACATTCCCCTCTCGTTTGCCAACGCGCCCCAAGGCTTGATTGATAGCGGTGATTTCACTCCCTCCAAATTCATTTCTCACAACAGCGTGCACGGTGACGGTGAACTCGGAAGCGAAGAACATACGGGATGTGGACAGCAAATGTGAGGGTGTCCGGAAGAGTTGTATATGCCAAATTGTACTATCAGATATTAAATTCCAAAGCATAGAGCTGACAACTGTCGCGGCACTATTATACCGTTCATGCAACATGCCGAGCCGTCTGGCCCGTCAGACTTCAGCACTAAGCTCTCAGGAGCGTGCAGGGCTCTCGCGTGCGCTTCCGCGCCTCGCACAAAGCCGCGTGCGAGTGCACGAACCTCACTGCCCTGGCTTCGATGTCCCCCGGCAATTAAGGGGTGCTCTCGGCAGAGGTCACTGACGTCCATGCTTCTCTCCATCCTGGGAAGAACACACAAAAACGACCCCTGTAACTGGCATCAGATGACTCTACGCTCTCAAGGTCGTGCCGCCGGTGTCTGGGGACTCGTCTATCAGAGACAAGAAGGGACTGAAATCGGACGAAATCTCCCCAGGCGTGCACGATGGGACCGGTGCAACGTGGTGCGCTACTTCGGTGTGAGAAGGCCATGCGATGCAGACGGCCATAGGTGATCCCAAAGGGAGCCCGATTAGGTTTTGGCTCGTCCTGGAGGGCAGCGAGAACGCTTCTCTCGGACCGGAGCCCATACGTGGTGGGTAGAGACATAGAATGCAGGCCAATCCGCAACTCTGACTTAGATGCGCTGGGGTAAGACTCTTACCTCGACGGCGATCCGCGTGCGGTGTAAATAGAGCAATGTGGAGATATCGACTTCCGATAGTCTAAGCAGTCGAATGAGATTGTGCGACTTTCACAAATTCTGGAAGAAGAGGTGATATGATACAGCTATACGTATAGGTCGAGATCTTCCGTAACGGTAGATGTGAGACGGAGAAGAACGTCGCCAGGAGGAATTGCAATGACACGAGGCCATCTGGCCATTCAATGATCAGGCGTTTGAGCGGCTGAATGTGCAAAGCTATCTCGCGAAGCGGGCGCACGAGCGGAAACAGTCAGACCCGTTTCATGACCAGCATACATCACTCACTGCAACATGGGAACAACCGACTTCCGTCCGACCCGCATCCCCGGACTTTCTGCGGAGCCGCTGCTACCCTGATGGACTACACCCAGTTCGACTACGCAGGTCTTCGACCTCCTGCTCTAGGTGTGTCAGCCTCCGCCGGTCCTCCGAGCGCGACACCTCAAGCGCCTCCATCTGTCTCTCCAGCGCCACAAAGCGCGCCTGCTCTTCGAGCCGCGCTTTTGTTGCGATAGGGAGCAGCTTCGCGACCTCGGTCCAGCGCATCCAGAATGCTGACAGCTCCGTGCGGACATCCAGGGGTACGAGGGCGCGCTCCAGCGCGAAGTCGAACGCGTCTGGCCAACGGAGGCCGCAGTTGACATGGCACCCGAGCGGGAGAAGCTGACTCAGGAAGAGCGTAACCGGCTCCGCCTTCGTAATTACGGAGAGTCCGACGGCGAGCGTGTCGAGGCGCGAGAAACGGGGGATGCTTGGCTCACAAAGACAGGATGGCTCTGGCGGCTCCCGGGCGTCGATGTGGAGCGCGAGATAGTGGAGATTGGTGCAGTAGCGAGCGAAGGGAACGAGGGCGCGGAGAGAAAGCTTCGGTCCGTGGGGGTCAGGGACAGGCTCAGGGTTCAGCTGGAGACTTTCCAAAGAACGCCAATTGCTCGCGAACTCTTCCATGTCGTCATCCATGAGGTTAAGCGCGTAGTCCCAGCGGAATTCGAAGATGCGGAGTGAACGTGAAGAGAACAAAGGGCGGAAGACCGTGATGTCCAAACGATCCTCGAGAGGTGGCGGAGGAACCGTCAAGGGAGAATCCGGGGCAATGATGTAGTCAACGGATAGATCCCGGAGCGACGTGCACCTGTCTCGCACCACGCAGAAGAATTCT